CTTGATGTTGCCATTTGCGCTATAGGCAGGAAAAAGCCAATGTCCCAGTTTGAAGACAGGCAGGAGTTCCCTCTTACTCAGGGGCGGGTCAGCCTTTTATTGCTGTTCAGCCCTTCAACTGATTGGATGAGGCCCACCCACAGTGGGAAGGGCAATCTGCCTTACTCAGTCTACTGAATAAAATGTTAACCCCCCCATCTAAAGACACCCACACAGAAACATCCAGAATAATGTTTGACCAAATATCTGAGCACCTGTGGCCCAGCTGAGATGATGTGTAAACCCAGCCATCACAGTTGGGGGCACCTGGCTTGAGCTGTCTGCAGAGGTCCTGGCCTTGGTGGGGGATGGCTACGGGTGCCCAGGCCCTCTAGTCACAGGGCTGTCCTCTGTCTGAATCACGGAAGGAATCTGCAGCTTCCTAGCGTCGTCCAGTCTGGGCACCAGCGGAAAGATGGCCCCAGGCCTCCAAGGCAGGCCAGTGGGAGCCACGCCACCAGCAGTGGTGAAGTGGGAAGGATTCATGCTGGCGGCAGGTTCATTCCAGTACTGTGGAGGGTGAACCTGGAAGACACCAAGGGAAGGACGGCTGCCCTGGCTTCAGTGCTAGACCCTCCAGGCTGAGGTGCTCAGGGGACCTTCCTCTCCCACCTTCTCCTCCAGCTGCTGCTGCAGGCAGCCCAGGAACCCCTTGGGGCCAGGTTACAGGACCAACTCCAGACAGGGCCAGCCTCGTCCTGGTGTCTCACAGAGGGTGGGGTCTCGTCCCTTCTACATGAATCTTACCCATGACGTTTCATAAAATCTCTTTAAGGTAAGAAGGTTCCAGTTGCAGTCAGTTCTGTTAGCCGATAAATGTAAATAGTCTCGCAGGTTGGAGCACTTGATTACCATGCTGAGCATACTTGGAACCTTCCTGAGGACTCTCGCACACTGTGAAGTGCCGCGTAGGTGGAATCGTGGGCCAGCAGCGAACACGTACGAAGTGTTGACCGTGTGCCCACAGTCAGTGTCGTCTTCTGAATTACCCTGTGGGGGGACACTGTTACTGTCCCCATTTTCCCGGTGAGCAGTGGTGCTGTCACTGGCCAGGGGAGACCCCGTACTGAAGAGAGGACATGTCTTGCCCCCATCAAGCCCATGCCTTTAACCCTGCGGTGTCACCTCCGGTTGCCTTCAGCTGTGACCGGAAGCAAGCTCTCTGTGAAGGCAGGAGCCTCAGCTTGGGCAGTGCTGGCAGCGTGGGCAGGCTGTCCCCTCCGCGCACCAGCAGGGGCGTCCGTCGGCCGGCAGGTTGTGTGAAAGCCACTCTCCCATGAGCCTGGAGTCAGAGCCTTTTGTTATTTGGATGAGAGCCTGGGTCAGCAGCCGTGGCCGCGCTGTCCCGAGGGGAGCATCGCAGGTCAAGGGACTCCTGCGTCAGACCTCAGGGAGGGGCTCTGCTGAGGACCTGGAAGTGACCTGCATCGCCACCAAGGAGCAGAGCAGTTTTCTCATACCTCACTTGTCTGTCCGTCCATCTGTCTGTCATAGTCCAGTGCCGCTCCGCGTGTAGCTGCCTCAGAACAGGGCCCCCGTACTTTAAACGAGGGCCCAGTTTTCATTTCCCGAGCCCTGGGTCACTTCAGGAAGGGTGCAGGCGGCACTGAGCCCTACAAGGGATTCACGGCAGGCGTCTCCTTCCTTCTTGGGAATCTGAACAAATCGTGGGAGTGGGTTGGCTGCCCAAAGAGGAGGGCTCCAAGTGAGGCGGGGCAGGGTCCCTGCTTCGGAATCCAGCTCGGCACACCCTGGACAGCGCCACGCAGCCCAGACGTGCCCACGACTGCCAGCGCCGTCAGCGGGGCTGCTTCTCTGGCTCCTGGAAGCCCACACCGGGAGCCTCCCTGCAAGCCCTGCTCCTCGGGGAGGGCCGCTGGGCCCCATCCTGAACAGCAGGGTCCTCAGAAAGATGCCGACAGCAGGTCCTCCTTTCACATCGACAATCCTGATTTTCTGGGTACCTCCACCCGACCCCAATGTGGTCCAGTGACAAGAGACCCAACACAGTCCAGGGGCCGCTCCACCCCCGGCACCCTCTCCCCACACGTCCTCCCTAGTGCTCTCGGCCCCCAGCTGTGGAGAGATCAGCATCAGGCAATGTGGGGACTAGCATTTGGCCTCAGTATAGTCATTTCAACGTCCGGTTGTCTTTGTGGACAGAACACCTCAAACTAGGGCTTATATCCTGGAAACTTTTCATTCGTTTAAAGCTTACGAGTTCTGCACATTTATAGCTAATAAATGTAGAACTCAGAGAAGTCTGCCTTTATTAAAGAAGTTACAGACCAGCCACATTTGACCAAAGAAAGCCCTGTTGAAAAGAAGCCACCTCATGTGGACGTGGGGTTTGCCACAAGAGCCACGTGTGGGCCGCGGAGCCGGGAGACGCGGGCTCCGGCCTCACGCGCCCGTGGGTGGCCTTACGCAGTCCGCCAGAATGACAGGGTGATCTGGAACCTTGCACTGCAGGCCCGTGGGGGCTCTGAACTCTGATTCGGGTTTTCCCACTATTCCACGAAGCTCCAGTCCAGTGGATTCAGGACATTTCATATTTTTATCATCTTTCCAACCCTCTCTCTTAAAATCAACCTTATTAAAATGATTTTTTTAAGGTAACCACCAAATTGCACCTCCCTGCTCTCAGTCAGGTTTATAGTTAGACCATTTCTCAACCTGATTCAATTCTGAATACAGTGTGTGTGCTGTCACTGTGACGTCAGCCTCTGGGCGTCCACTCTTAGGTCTGTATCCCAGGAAACTTCATACTGTGCACGTTTTCTCTGTAACAGCAGTTAGAAAAAAAGTGGCAGTTTCTCACAGGATGCCCGTGACGTGTCGGGAGGGTAACAGGTTTAAACGGTGGGCCATTAACCATGAGCTTTTCTTTTTAGGCTGCATCTGATGCTGGAGGGCAAGCACAACCTGCACTTGCGTTTTGCAGATGAATTCAACAAGTTAGCAGAAGACTTCCTGCAATGACGGTGTCACTGAGAACAGGTGGCCTGGCGCTGCCTCCGAAACCCACCCCTGGGACAGTCCTCAGTCCACCTGCCTTCCCAGGCTGCCTACTGCTGCCCACAAAACACTCCTAATCCAGCTGGAATAAGGACATACTAAAAATAGTCTCTAGCTTTCATAGCTACAAAAATTAAATCTGATTTTAAACGCCGTTGTGAATTTCTACCATTGTCTTAACAAATAAATTCCTACCATGATATACTTTACTTTCAAATGAATCATCAGGGATGCATTTGTAGTGTGCATGACGGCTCTTGTAGGACGTGAGTTATGCAGTACCTTTTTATCTGAGAGCTACAAGCGCTCACTGGTCAAGAGAAGCAGAGCAATCAGTCTGTGCCCAGGGCCCCCGAGTCTCCATTTTCATAGGGTCCCTGCAACTGCAGAAATTCAGGGAGGAAGGTTTGTCCTCTGATTCCTATTCCCCTCCACACGTTTACGGGATTCCTTTAATACTTTGGGCCAGTGAAGATTTTGTAAAAAGAAGTCTTTTTATCTCGACCAGAAAGGCTATTAATTAAAAACATTAAAGTAGAAATCCTATTTTCTTAAAATTGCTCGCCCCAGAAACATTTAAGAAGTGTTTAGTTGGGGGAGGGTATGGTTCAGTGTTAAGAGTGTGTGCTTAGCGTGCACAGGGTCCTGGGTTCAATCCCCAGCACCTCGTTAAAAAACAAACAAATAAATTAAGCCTGATTACCCCCTGCCTCCAAAAGAAAGAAAAAAAATTGAGAAATTATAAACAAAAAAGCAAAGAAGCATTTAGTGAAAAAATAAAAACATTTAAAATAAAAAGACGTTAGGTTTTAGACATGCTTTTTTATTAGTATAGATATCTTAGACAATACTGTAATTTTCAGAGGAATTCCACATTATTACATCAACAGTGAATTTCTGACAGAGGCAAAACTGAGCACCATAGTATACAAATAGAAAGACCATGCTTGATTGAGGACAACAGAAGTTCACTAAGGATGCACACTGATTTGAGAAGTTCTT